CAAATAATTTTAATTCTAAAAGAAGAGTAAAATATCTCTTAGTTTCTAAATTAAGTTTCTGAATGAACAAATATGGCAGTCAGTTTAGAAAAAATACTGTATTACTGTCAGTAGAAGAGGTAGATAGATATATACAGACATATATTTTTATGGAAGAGGGGGCAAACGAGCAGACGGGTTACCTGAGCCTCAATTCTGCTATTTTAATATTGTATCAATAGACTGTCGATGGAATGTCGTCTCAATTGTTTTGCACTTTTCCTATTCTACTAACTATGTAAGACCAATGGCCCGATGACTTGTCACGGATACAAATGTCGTGGATGTCTTTGTAACAGTTTGGTAAACGGTACATTTTAAATTTGTAAAAAAATGAGATATTTAATTTTCAAGGTATGGCAATGTTGTTGATATCAACATTGATGACCTATATTACTATATCGACAGTCCATTGACACTGTGAATTTATGTTAGTAGAATACTGATATGTTGACCGATGTCAATGGCGTCTCAATGGCATCTCAATAGCGTGCCAATGGAATGGCAGTAGCTTGACGTGAACATAAAATAACAGAATTGAGGCCCTGATGGAAAGTTACGCTCTTTTCTTGAATATAATTTTTTTCTTTAGTATATTATACTAAATTAGGTTTTAACCATACAGGGGAAGAAGACCTGAAATAATTATATAGGCTTGTGAAACCTTTTTTAACTACAGATATATAAATAAAAACTGCTTAGCAATTAACTTCAAAAAAATATCACCCATATCATGATTAACTAAAGTAAACTGCAAACTGTATTATCATTTTTATAATTATTTTTGTAACAAATGGAAAGCATATCCTCCTAAATAAAAAGAATTTTTAAATGATGGAGTTCTGAGGACACAAACATATAAAAATCCTTTTTTGAAGTCTGTTAAAAATAGGCACACTTATTTTTAACAGTGAAGTTTTATAAGTGTTACAAATAAATGTTTTAACGGTAATTTGATAGTTTAATTATATTTTACTTAAAATTACACACCTAGGACTATAAAAACACTGGTAGGAAGCAAGTTTTGCGCACAAATACAACACCAATATCGCACAACGTCGCATCGACGGCGTATAATAAAAAACGTACTTATTGCTTGTACACGTAATATCGAGTAGTGTCACCTACCGCAAATAATCACAAATTAATATATTATTTTATTATAATTACAATAATAATTGTCTTTAAATTATATATATATTATTATCATCTGATATGTTTTGTGAGTGTAATGATTTAAAATTATTTACTAATATCAAAAAAAGACGATGTTTTATTGACAACAGTTTTGTGTTCTCATGGGCGCAGTTAGAATCAATAAAATATAACAGTTTTGTGTTTTATAATAGAACTTAATATTACAAAATAAAATTATTAATCCTTTTGAAAAAAAAGTTGAACCGACTTTAAACAATACTAAGAAAGACCAACTAAACGCACTGCTCCAATGAGACAGCAAGGTTTCGTAAGTAAATAAAAATATCATGTATAATTTTTTTAGATTTTTGTTGATTTTTCAGAAACCGCTGGACCGATTTTAATAAAATTTAAATGGGACCTTGCCCTACCTACCCTTTAAAACAAAAAAATAATAATTTTTGAAATCGGTTCAGGCATTTTGAGTAATCGGTGAACATACATAAAAAAAAAGATTCTGACGAATTGAGAACTTCCTCCTTTTTAGAAGTTAAGTTAATCATTAAAAAGAGAACAACCTTTGAGCTATATAGAATCAAAAGTTAGTAAGTAATTCGGCATGTCTTCACTAGATGGCGATAAAGTAAGTGGACTGCTTGATGAAGTCCCTGAATAAGCCCATGTCTAAACGGTAAATTTCTTAAAAAATACTTCGGTGATAAACATTTAGAATGGCTACTTTTAAGTATTTATTAGAAGTTTATATTTTAATAAATACCTTTGACAGTTAAAATAGGACTAAAAAGTTTAAATTTAGAACAATATTCTGACTACGCCCATATTTATCTTACATCTAAGACATTTCACAATAATATGTAAGCCAACCTTCATTTAAACACAATTATATATATGTTTAACTAGCCTATTTTAAATTACTTGGGGATACATGGGGATTAAATACATTTTTACATCATATTTAACTTTCAACAACATTTTTAAACAATCTTTAATATTTTCCGACTATTTGAAAGATAATTTCCATTCTGGATATACATTTAAATATAAAACAGTTATTTGATTAAATATTAGTGTGACTATTCTAATATCGTATATCGATAAATTTTTATAACTCGTTAAAGTTATTCTTCGTTTAGTTTTCGCTTACTTTGCAGACATTTTTATAACAAATCCGAATGTACATTATGTAACACATCAAATATAAATACACGGTGTAAGGGACATCGTAACGAATACTTAAATAGTGTATTCAGACCATTATTCTAAGTCTAAAATGATTCGAATTTTCTGCTAGCAAATTAAACTTTTTATGCAATCAGCTGTCAAAGGTAAAGGTTAAAAGCAATAACTACATGTGTATGCCGTGCAAACTGTCTACGCACACTAACACAAGTTGGCGGCCGGAGGGGAAGCCCCGCGCGCTTCGACTGTTTGATTAATTACATTGCAGTTTTTGACCGTATGTGGTATTTATTAATTTGTTTTATTTGAAATGTTTTGTTAACTCATGGTAATATTATTTTTAACCAAAAAAATGGAAAAAGAATAATTTGAAAAAAAATAATTTGCCGGCAGTTCCATTTATTTTCGACTCAGAATCATGGTCTGAATACACTATTTCAGTATTCGTTCCGATGTCCCTTATAGCCTGTATATATATAGAATATATATGTACTCATTAATTTTATAATAGTTATAAAATAAAATATTTATAAAAAATATATTGCGGAAAGATATAAGAACAGATTATTCATAAATATTATATTTAATTAATGTAGTTTTACCAACTTAACCGCGGAAAGCGAAAAAACTATTTAGTAAAAAAAAACAAATCAATTATCAAAATTTCATCTCTGCTATCCCCGCCAAGTCCGAAAAAAATTATACAATATTTACCTGAATCCATTTTTTTTGGAGGCAATGTAAAGGAGGTTGGTCAGGTTTTTTTTTTATTTTGACTTAAAAGCTTTATTAGATATCGTATACCGATATATTTTTATATGCATAACTAATTAATAGTATAATTATGTTGATAGTGCCAATATTACATTCAGACTTTTTATAAAATACAATACGAATACTTTTGACACGTTATACTAATAGATATATTTAAGAGATTATAGCTGTCACGTCAGAATGACTTTTTTTGTTAACTATGTTACAAAATACCAGACCACTGAGAATCAATACTATAAGCATAGACTTAAAATTTTGGGCACAGGCAAGCTCATAGAGATTCAAAGAGACAAGCAGAACATACCTTGACTTACCAGCATAATAGGTAGAGTTTATTGTGTACGTAGCAGTCATAATCGTAGTCATGAATCATGAATTAAATATATATATTACGTACATAAGCGTATATTCATACGCTTAAAATATTTTATTCATTGAAAATTGAAGTCACAATTTTGCGACTGTTTAAGCTAATTCTTTCATTTCTCAATCTATTCGTATAAGATCCCTACAGAAACTCATGCCTGAAACCACTATTAGTCACGTGATTTATTTGTTTTTACTGTATGCACAAGTTGTTGAGTTGCAATTATATTTGGGTAATTTTAATCTCCTTAATATAGCTAAGAGTATTAATAAGTATAATTAAGGACACACTACAGATTTAAATGTTCATTAATTTAAATTATTACTATTTCGTGAATTTTATTTTTTCAAAACTTCATAATTATTCGGGATATTTTTAAATTGTATTGTTCTGAATTACATTTACTTTGGGAAGTATTTCAAATACCTGACCCTACACTACTGTTAGTCAGTGACGGAAGGCTTCTTTCTGTGGATGGTCTCAGGTGATCTGAAACTTCCTTACAAAAAATTCATTGTAGTTATATTAGATAATTATTCTACATGTATAACGTACATTAAAATAAAAATAAAAGCTTTAGTGACTGATACATTTATTAAAGACGTGAGAAACCTGACGCGTATTGGCAGGACGCAATCTTTGAAAAATGCTCTGTTACAGGGCTATTCGGACATATTTGAAACACACATGAGCAAAACCGATTAAAGAGTCAACTAGATGATGCAATGACTATAATGTGTCCTTAATATCAAACAATCATTAATATATATCTCACTTTTCTTACACATAACAACAGTTAAGTCTACCGCTCTAAGAAATTCAACCGCTTGGCATTTCGATAATATATTTATAATGAGATCACTCACTATCAACGATCTACGTCAGAACCACGATTCATTAACGTTATAAAATTACGTTTCAAAATAAAAACTAACAACTATTCAAGTCATGAAAGAGGGAAATGAATTACTATTTTTACAAAAGTTAAGAATAGACAAAGAACTTGGCTGGTGTTTTAACATTTTCTAACTTTTTGTTCCTGAGTATGATAAACTATCTAGAATTTATCTAAATAATGTACTCTTTAAATATTTTATTATCTTTCATCACTTCGATTACAATTAATTTCATTTTTTTATTAATTCTCTTCGTTTAAATGAATTTATTTAATCAAAAAATATTATGGTAACTTTAATTTAATGCAACCTATTTAGTTATTTATTAAAAACATTATAAAAAACATACATGCACAATGAAATGCAATAAAAATAACAAACTTATTTTCTTCGTAACTGAAAAATATCAATTTTCAACCAACAAATTGAAACAATAACACCTAACTTATAACATTTAAAGACTGTTTTGGCTTGTATATTGTCTCTTTTTAACTCGTTACATGCGACAACACGACCATAACAGTCTCTAAGATGTTTCGAATAAGGTGTCATTTCGCATAAACGACGTAGTGAACGTAGGAAGAGGCTCACTCCATGGTGTCGTACTGCACCTTCTTGACCTTGAAGTAGCGCCAGGCTGCGTAGGCGCAGAGCGTGGCTGCCGTAGCGAGCGCTAGCGCCGCGCCTACGGCTACGGGTGCCGTCTCGGCGCGGGCGCGGGAGGCGCGCGCGCACGCCCACGGCGGCCCGAACTCGCCGCCGCGCTTGTACATGAACGGTTGCAGCCGCATCTCGCGCAGGTACAGCTTGGCGCGGTGCCCAGTCGTGGGGCTGCACACACGACAAATATCACGTGAGGACGACTGCCTACTAGAGGTCCATATAATCCTTACATCCACCAGCACAGGTAAACCACACGATATAACTTCTTTTACCATTTTTTTATAATTTACAACTTAAGACATAAGGACATCGTCACAATGATCTATATAAGTATAAGCTAATACAAGCTGTACTCACTAACATCAAGTGTTAAAAATAAATGCCAAGAAATATTTATTTTTTATTAAGTATTTTCTTTAAAATTACCTTCCAGAAGACATTTCTTTTTTAATGATAAACGGTAAAAAACAGAATTGTTCCAGAACCTCCTAAACCCGTTTAAACCGTTTTACGCTACAACGGCGGCTTGCAACGCTACCTACGTTTTAACATGACATTCCATGTGACCGGGAAGAGCTCAACGACGGTCTGAGTAGCGAAGGACCGTGCATCAGCAATACTAGTACTAGTGAGCAATACGAGGCAGTTCGTCTTAAGAATATTAACGCTAAACATGTTTTGGCAAGAATACCCAAGCCATTATATAACAATACTCTAAAACTCAGCTGGTCAACTGCACTATATTACGAGGCATCCCTTTTAGGTTTTGTCGTTAGAAGAAAAAACACAACTAGTTCTAGTTGTGTTTTTTTATTGTTTTTCAAAGTATTCACCACGTAGCTTAATACACTTTTCCATTCGCTCAAACCAGTTATTATAACATTTATTCCACTCTAAAGTGGGGGTGTTCAAAATGGCTGACTTGAAAGCGTCGACTGCTTCTTCACCGGTCTGGAACCTTTGACCACGAAGAAAAATTTAAACACATTTGAATATAGAACAGTTCCAAATTCAAAATTGCCGGGAAATATGGAAACGACAGAACTTAAAAGGCATGCCTAGTATATGACAAAATTATTAAGGCAAAATTTGGGTTTGCAAGCCATACCTACGCCTATAACAGGCGTCCTAAGCAAAATTCGCCCATTGTTTTTCAAAAACAACTATTGATTGTAAAATATTAGCATTGTAATAAGACACACCTCCTACGGTCGTCTGATCCTAAACTAGGCAGAGCCTGTGCTATGGTAACCAGACTGCTGATAAACATTCTTATATATTTCTAAAAATATACATATTATAGATAATTTACATCCAGGCACACACAGTTATTTGTCCTGGGTGGAAATCGAACCCACGACCTCTGGCTTAGCAGTCAGGGTCACTAACCACTAGTCCAACAGGCCAGTCATTATTTTGTAACAGCATAATTGGAAAACTTACTTAGCATCTTCTTCTTGAAGTTCAATCACAGTTTCTTCAGGACAGGAGAACGACTTCCCCACTGGTGTTGGAAATAGGAGTTCCCTGACGTCGGTGCTGAGCGTCACTTTTCTGCCTTGATTTGCAGCATGTTCTAGAATTCTGGCACTTGAATTATATGTTAGTTTGATACTGTCGGCGTACCAACGTTCTCCGCCAGGCGTCTGGAAATAACAAAGAAAATGAATTATGCAGTTTTATTTACTTATTTTTTTATGTTTGTTGCGGGTGCCTTTAACGTTAACCTTGTTTAATGCACTGCTGATCTAAACTTCAATTCTGCTATTTTATGTTAACCAAGCGACTGTCATTCCATTGACACACTATTGAGATGTCATTGAGACGCTATTGACATCAGTCAAAATATTCGTATTCAACTAATATAAATTCACAGTGTTAATAGACTATCGATATGTGTTAGTAATATAGGTAATCAATGGTGATACCAACAACATTGCCATACTTGGAAAATTAAATATATCCTTTTCTTACAACTTTAAAATGTACCGTTAACCAAACTGTTACGAAGACAACGCCGACATTTGTATCAGTGACAAGTCATCGGGAGGCCATTGGTCTTACATAGTTAGTAGAATCGGAAAAGTGCAAAACTATTCCGACGACATTCCATAGACAGTATATATCGATATACTGTCTATGGAATGTCGTCGCTGCACTCACTTGATCCAAAAATAAATGAAAAAAATTAAAAAAACCCGACACACATCTTGGATTTAAAATTTAAGCCCTTTCATTTGAGTCTCATATTGAGGGAGTTGTGAAAAAATAAATAATCCGCCATTTTGCGGCGGCGGCCATCATGAGCCGATTTTCATCAAACATAGCTAAGAACACTACTGACTAATTAACCTTTTAAACAAAAAAATACAAAATCAAAATCGGTTCATCCGTTCGGAAGCTACGATGCCAGAGAGAGACACACAAAGACATGTCAAACTTATAACACCCCGTCGTTTTTGCGTCCGGGGTTAAAAATAGACAATAGTAATGTCTATTTTTTTTTTACTAAATAGACATTGCAAAATAGAATCTCCTTAGAAATTAGATTTTGATTCATTTATTATACCACGATGGTCAGACGGGTTGGTACAGGGTTTGTGTCAAGTTTTCCTTCTTTTTGCAGTGCTGTTTTCAGGACAATAGCACTGCCAAAGGAAGGCATAGTCCTGCATAGTTGGATCTTACGACAACCACAGGATGAATAGGGGTGATGACACTCCGTATTCTTAATCGGTCAGTACACAGGACTTACTGAGTAACGCTTACCTTGGCGAAAGACCACTCCAAGGAGAAGTCTTTAAATGTGAGAACCAAAGTTTGTGCGTCGCCATCTTTACAAGACCCGCCTACGTTCGCATTGTTCGGCACGAATGTGTTGGCATCCTGGAATTAATAAAGAACAATCTAGCAGTTGACATAACAGCTATTTTTAAAGTTAGGATCAAATTGAAAATTAACGTCTGTTATCCATCTAGTGGTTAGTGGCTACTGAGCCAGAGATCGTGGGTTCGATTCCAACCTAGGACCAGTAATTGTATGATGAGCACGATTATTTGTTCTGTGTCTGGGTATAAATTGTCTCCAATATGTATGTATATATTTAGCAAAATATAAGTATGTAAATACATACATATATTTTGGTTACCACAGTACAGGCTCTGCCTAGCTTGGGTTCAGACAGCCGTGTTTGAAATGTGTTACGTTTTTATTATTATTACTTTGCACAAATACTGACTAAAAGCATAGCAAAACTTTAGTGGGTTATTTCGTAAATTATTTGTATTTTGTTAAAGACAATATAAAATAAAAAATGTTAAGTTGATTTGTGTACGCTTGAAAACCTGAAAAAGTTCTGCACCGATTGAGCCAAATTTTGACAAGATATACAACCTTCTTCATAGGCGGTTTTCACCTATTTTTGACGTCAGTTTCGTTACTCATTTCCTAGCAATGCAAGCACAATATCGCTAGTTAAAAATAAAGTAAGAAAAGCCCATTCGAAAACCAAAGAAAACATTAATTGCCTTAGAGTAAAATATACACAACAATTTCCAAGTCATAGCATAAACTTACACACAAATACAACATTCTCAAAGAAGATGCTGTAACAATATATATTAAAATAACAAGAAACGGAATAAAACATTTTAATTAAACCCTTCTTGAGTGAACATGATAAACTTTTGACAGCAGAAGTTAATTAATAAATACCGCTACTTATACGTATGGCAAGAGTAGCCCACTTAAATATTCGTGTTTATTTTAATATGGGAAAACACTCGTACTGAAGAAACCTTTGTCCACTCAAAGTACGATGAAGAGTTGTGACTTTAATAATAACTCATTATATGTATCTCTCACACGCCGCGCCCCGGAATTACCCAAACTAGGCAAAATCAAACTATTGTGACGAGACTGCTGATAAACATACTTATTCTTGGAACTATTTTCTTTTTATAGAAGAGGACGGGACGAGCAGGCGGGTGACCTGAGGGCCAAGTGCGAGTTTATTTCACATGTACTCGATCGTCACGGTGAGTGCGTTCGGCGCTGCGATTGGCCCGTACTTAAATCTTAACCAATCGCACCAACACCGAACGCGCTCTCTTCCGAGAGCGAGCCTGCAACTGCAACCGCCTGCAACTCAGTAGTCATAATCGGTTGACGCCCTTTTAGAAAGGAGTACGCTCGTTGAAGTTGAATAGTTGAAGGCCGTATCGGAAATACCGATAACTTGTTAAACAGATTAGTTGCGCGACGCAAAACGTGTCTTGAAAAGCGCACAGTGATGAAGCGCCTATTATCCAGGTGATGGGGATGAAAATTTTCGATGGCGGAAAGTAATTATTATCATCAAATCATCCGTGTGGTAATGGATTAAGAATACGGAGTGTCACCGCCCATATTCATCCCGCGGGTGTCGTAAGAGCCGACTACTACGCAGGACAACAGCACTGCAAAGAGAAGAAAAACTTGAAAAGAACCAACATGGTATATGCAGCATGGTATATCACATCAAAACCTTCTTTCTAAGGAAAGGCCTATGTCCAGCAGTGGTCTGTTTTAAGCTGTTGATGTGATGACGATGTGATGTTGATACATATTATAGACAAATTATACCCAAACACAGGACCAGAAATCTTGTTTACGAAATAATTGCTTAACTGGCACTACACTGGCAATCGCTCCCACAACCCCTGGCTCAGCTGTCACGATCACGAACCATTTGAACAGAACATGTCAGTTAATTATTAATAAATTACCTACGACTTAGGGCCACCGCAGACCAAGAGAAGCGCAGCGTAGAGGATTTTTATAAGACACTCGAAAACACACTTTAAAACTATCGCTATAAAGTTCATACTTGTTTGAACATGACGCGGCCTCGGGCCAGGTAGGTATATTATGCACTTTATACAAATAGTTTTACAGTTTATTTCCCACTCGGCCTGCGCTGGCCCTTAAGATAAAAAAAAACAAAAGAGAAAAAAAAACTGGAAATATTTTTTTTATTAAATAAGTATTACCGACATCAATTAGTTTTGTTAAAATAAGCTGTAACATCCGTCCTTTAATTTCCCATCCTTAAAAGTGGAATACTTTCTTCAAATTTAAATTGGACAAGCCGACAGTAAAACCAATTCAATCACACAAAAATAGTTTAGCTAAATTGAGAACTGAGGATCAAGTGCGAGTTCATTTCACATTCAGTGCGATTGGCCCGCACTGAAATCTTCACCAATCGCAACGACGAACGCGCTGGCTGTCGAGAGCGAGTCGATGTCAAATAAACTTGCACTAGGCCCTCTGCTTTTCATTTGAAGTCTGCTAAAGAAAAACACCTTAACTTACCGCACGTTCGTTCAGTTTAGTGACATATGATATGTCTAGGAGTGCATCCACCATCAGCAGTATACAAGTCTCGCTGCTGCCTATCAGTCGATACGTCGCTGTGTTCAAACTCCGTTCCGTTACTGCTTCCTGTAAATAATAAATTATACTTGTTACACGTGTAGATCGGAATATAATTGTACCTTAAACGGACGTATCTAAAACCTCTAAAACCTATATGTATATATAGCACGCACGATTATAGCTAGCACGGAAATTACTAGATTACACTGACCGTGGTCACAAACTGACAAGTGACAATCAGTCTGTGACCACGGAAGGTGTAACCTGATGGAAATATTAAGGAAATCAAAGGTATGTAATACCGAAATACCTATTATGTGATCGCGTTAGTTCTAGTACGTATTCATAATTACAACTCACCGTTGACCCTCCAGGCGCAACCGTCGTTTTACTATACTTTGTGACCCTTGGCCTTCTGGTGGATGCCTGACTGTCGAGCTGCAAGCTCTGCACTGAGCACACCACCAGTACTGCCAACACACACCACATAGATATAACAATAACGATTAACACCGCATAAAAACGTGGACAGGCACCCTAAACTGTTCTTCGATTGGAACCCTAAGTTGTTCTTTTAACATTAGGAACCCTAATTTGTTCTTGAACTGTCAAACATAAAACACTTCATAATTCTTTGTAGAGAACACTTTCTTGAACAAAACAGAATTAAGCTGTTTAGCACATTTATAAATAACTAAATAGGACAATCACTGAACACATTTTAGTAGGTTTACTTCACATTGTAACATTATAGTTGTAAGTACAGTATAAGTAATATTAAATTTACAATCAAATAACAGTGAACACCAGAAATATAATGTTAATATGCAAAAGATATCGTTATTCTGGATGACACGACCGCAAATAGCGTCATCTTGCATATGCACTGTTAAATCAATCTATAACAATCTTGATTAACTTAGTGATGGGGTAGGAAAGTATCGATAAATAAAGAAAAATCTATTGCAGGGTTTCGTCAATTTCTGCGTTGCCTGTATATTTAATAAGCAGCAATTGGTAGTCAAATAACCAGTTAAAACAGGCAATGAAAAATTGTAACAGAATTTCAACTTCATGCTTTAATTACAAACAAACGATTAACAATTGTATTGACACGTCCCTACTACTAGGCTGGCATATTGACTTGACTGATAGGGAAACTCAATATGGCAGCTTGACTAAAACGGGCTACGCCCGTAGGCTGACGTCAAATCCGTTACACAGCAATATTTTCTTCTAGTTATCTCTGGGCAATATGAGTTAAGGAAATAAATTATAGCTTAAAAATATCATCAGGAAGCTAGTAAGCAATATAACTTTGAACGTAGAAACCCAATCATGATGTTCATAGTACGTACTTACTTCCAAGAAATTTCTCTTTTACTTTATAGATCTAAGTAGTTAACAAATTAAGAACAAAGTTGCCGTTCGATAAACTAAAACAAACATAAAGTAGAAGTTTAAGTTAGAAATTCTATTACGAAGAACTGGCTTGTGTCTTTTTCTGTCAAATGGAAATCCTATTTCTGTATGTCTACTAAACAAACCTGTATTTTAATTATGTTTCATAGTAATCTATTGAAAAAAATTGAAAACAGTATCACTTCAAAACTACCTTTAAAAACTATAAATATTATCAAACATCCTAACTCCTCTTTCCTTAAACTATACCACTATCCAAAATAAACTTCATTTTATAGAATTGTTTACATATATTTTTTCATGCAAACAATAATAATTTATAACTGGTCCTAAACCGTTCATACTGTATCAGTTCGGTTTGTCATCACACTCCACCATTACATTTTGTGCTCAAAATACCTACCAAAAACAATGATAACACTAACAATAAAACAAGAAGCTACCTTATTAGTTGTTTTATGCAATACTCCGACAGGATTAACGTATCTCGTGAAATTGGGTTATAAAATCACACACAATAGAGGCAATCCCTAACAATTTGCTTGAAATTTGCCCCGGTTTGCGCCAATTTCATTACACACGACAAAAATGAATATACATTTTCACTCCAAAAGGATGTAAGCACATCTAATGTATTTTTGGATTAGAGTGAAACTCAGACTGATTAATGATACATACGCTTGGATATTAAAGTACAAAGACCCATTGTACGCCGAGTGATGGAATAATGTATGGACCTATATTTATAAAATACACAGTCATCCTTTAATGATTAGAGGTTTATTTATAACACGTTTGGCGTAAACAAATGCTTAATCTTTTATTTTTATCGGTAGATCTGATTACTGTTTGTAATGGATGCTCTGACATCGGACATACAGGAGGAGGCACCTTGGTGCATGCTATTTGCAGATGACATTGTGGTGGTCGGTGAAGATGGGGTTGAGGTCCAGAGCAGACTGAAAAAATGGCAACAAATAATATAATAATATACCTCACACATTTCACACAAGACCGTCTGATCCCAAACTAGGCAGAGCCTGTGCTATGGTGACCAGACTGCTGATAAACATACTTATATATTTTTAAATACATACATATTATAGATAAATTACACCCAGACACAGAACAAATGATCATGCTCATCACACAATATTTGTCGCCCTAAGTCGCCCTAGGGCAGACGCAGCGCCGACCAGCTTTGGAGCAAGCTGTCGGAAGTGCTTGTCGAAGAGCCACCTCCCGTCGAGGATCAGGCCCAGATATTTCATCTGGGCCCGAACCGGTACGAGGACCGAGTTGACCACGATTGAGGCGCCAGGGGGTGGACCACGACGGGGCCCATGAAATAACAGGGCCTCCGTCTTATCTAGGGCCACCCGTAAGCCCAGCGCCTCAATGCGCCCGACCACCAGGGAGGGACTCCCCTTGTGAACAGGCGCGCCGCCTCTTGGAAGTTCGCCCCCCGGGCTGTCACCAGAGTGTCATCTGCGTAACAAATTACACCCAGCCCGGGGGGGAAATCGGCTCGAAGGGCCCAGTCGTACCCTATGTTCCACAAGAGGGGTCCAAGAACAGACCCCTAAAATCATACATACTTTTTTTTTTTTTTTTTTTTTTTAACGTGTGGAAATCCCCTCGGACCGTCACCCCACCGGGGTTTGCGGCGGGGTGGTGTGTCGGACTCGAACCGACTAAAACCACACGGTGTGCCCTCTTTGCGCTTCCAGTTTAGGAGGGGTCCAGGTAGTTATCGCCTTCTGGACCCCTCCCAGCGCCGGCCCGCTCCTGGTGCGGGCTCCGTCTTCAATTATCCTCTCTTTAGGCGACGTCCGGCACACGCGGACGCCGCCCCCTCGCGGCTGGCCAACTAATGCGGGTGGAGGGGAAACCCACCCCGTCCACCCGCGGCCACACTCAGGGTGGCATGAGGCGCAGGTAAGCGCGCCTCCGCCGCCCGGTTCGCCGGCGGCGGATCAGGTCCGAGTGGAGGTCGTCCTCCCGGGCCTTCTCCGCCGCCTCCTTCTGCGAGATGACCTCCTCGCAGAAGGTTGCGACCGCGGTAAAACAACTGTCGCTACCGGCCATGGAGCGAATTACGGCCGGTAGCGAGAGATCTGCTCCGATGACTGCAGTGAGGGCCCGGCGCTGCGTCGCCCATGCGGGGCAGACCGCCAGCGTGTGCTGGGCCGAGTCCTCACTGCAGTCGCAGTGGTGGCAGGCGGGACTCAGTTCCCTCCTAGCGACCGAGTGCGGGTACTTTCCGAAGCAACCGTGCCCGGAAAGCACCTGCGTCAGCCGGAAGGAAAGGGCCCCGTGCTGCCGCCCTGCCCACTCGGCTATGACCGGCTGGAGAGCCTCCACGGCGGCGAAGCCAGCGCGTGGAGTCTCCAGCCGGAACGACCATCTAACCATGGTGGAAAATCATACATACTGCGCCAACCCCAAATAAAATTGGGAAAAGGGTAGGCAGATGATGGTAGATCTGATTACATATAACCTGGTAGGATTCTAGTGAACCAAAAACGCTTTCTTACTGAGTAAAGTATTGATAAAAGTAAAAGAAATAAGTTCTAAAAGTTTCATGAGCAGTTTAAAAAAGATAGCCAAAATGAGATATGACAAATCTTGTAAAAAGAAAACTGTAAGGCCTGCAAGTACATTCAATTTAGTCCAATGGCTGAAAAATAAATTACATTTATACTTAATAAATCTGCTGCTGTACTTGCTGTGATGAGTAGACGTATCGTCTTTTTTAATAATTCTATATTGTATGTTTATGTATCTGTTTGATAAATCTCTAGCATGGGATAGAGAGATGCTGCTCAGAAGTCTTAAATGTCAGTTGTGTTATTTGGCTTTATTTAAGGAGATCCAGAAACTTAGAGAAAAATAAAAATACTTTAAAAGTTTATTAGAGTCATGTAGAAAAATTATGAAGTAAATCTATATCTTAGTCTATGTATACCTTTTTATACAAAATAGAATAGTCTTTAACTGAGAGAATACTTCTTTACTTGTAGAAAATGAATAATATCAATCGATTAGCTATTCCATAAAATGTAATACTATAAGAAGTTCTTAGATTTTACGATTACTTATTTTGTACGATCATTTTAAAGTACCTAATAATATTATGATATTAGCTCTTGTCACAAAACGCTTAACATTCATGGCCTAGTAAGATTTTGCTAGCTTTTTATGCTTTTATTCATGCTAATCTTCCTTGCAATCTTCTCTTGCATAGTATAGTTGGTAGAACACTCTAAATACAACAGCATTAGTTAATTTATGAGTATATTTGATTTTGCTACTGTCACAGCTTAAAAGAATTTAATACAGCAACAGATTTGTTTTATCGATAACGTAATGTATCGATGCACGCGCTTCACTTCACTACTTGGCCCGTGCCGTAATCTTTGTGCCGTGAATCCATTGTGGAAAAGTTCACAACACGAACGACAAGTCGAATGATGTTTTTCTAGTTCATAAATTAAATTTTATAGTTTAACTACTTGTATTTATATTATACATTATATTGTAGTATACATAAACTAGACTGTAAACTCTTCAGAGATTATATTTTTGATTTTACTTTGATATGTTAAAAAAAAAAACATTTTCTTGACGCCAAAACCTGATCTTTACATATGAATCTTGAGGTTTTCTTAATAATAATATCTTAGTTAAATCATTTCATTTAAATACATTCAAAGCGCAATAAGAAGTTGTTGAAGTTGAAAATTCTTTGATCCTTGGATTTAAAAGTCATATAGCATATGATGCCGGGATTATAGAGGAGGTATTTTCAACTCTATGTTACTCACTTCCTCGAACTTTATGTAAATATACTCTACCTATTCCGATCTCTGCTCATCACACGTCTAGTGATAAGACAACCTTAGTTATAAATATTACATTTGAATCGCGCAACATTCGTTCTCATGGCGATATACATGTACATATACCTACTAATCATCATGTTAGAGGATCTTCCTTCTGATGATATCTGAACTGTCTGGCAAGTAGTTAGTAATGTTAAATGCTCATTCTCGCACAGGATAAAA